GTAGCACTAAACTGGTGATAAAGGGGGCACCTGGATGGCTCAGTGGTTTAAGTGTCTGCCTTCAGATCAGGTCATGATTTCAGAGTCCTGGGATGGAGCCCTGCATTGGGATCCTTGCCCAGGAGGGAGTCTGCTTCTCCCTCTCTCTTTGCCTGCTCATGCTTTCTCTCTATCTTTCTTTTTCTCTCTCTCTTTCTCTCTTAAATAAATAAATAAATAAATAAATAAATAAATAAATAAACAAACAAAATCTTAAAAAAAAAACAATGTTAAAGGAAGAGTGCAAGGAAATCATAAAAAAAAAGCAGGGGTACCTTGGCGGCTCAGTCGGTTAAGAGACACTCGATTTTTCAACTCAAGTCATGATCTCAGGGTCCTGAGATTGAGCCCCGTGTTGGGCTCCACCCTCAGAGGGGAGTCTGGTTGAGGATTCTCTCTCTCTCCCTCTGTCCCTCTCCCCTGCTTGTGTGTGTGTGCATGCACTCTCTTTCTAAAATAAATAAATAAACCTTTACAAAAATATAAATAAATAAATAAATAAATAAATAAATAAATAAATAAATAAGATTCTGGTGTCCAAATTAGGAGTGTCTGGCTGGCTTAGTCAGTAGAGCATGAGATTCTTGATCTTGGGGTTGTGAGTTCAAGCCCTACATTGGGGATAGAGATTGCCTAAAAATAAAGTCTTAAAAATAAAATAAAATAAAATTCTGATGTCCATATTAGACATTGTACTAGTTACATCAGAATGTCCTGGGGATACAAACCACATATCAATAGTTCTTAAATTCTCATGTGACTGTAATGTGCAGCCAAGTTTGGGCATGACGGCTCTAGAGACATCCTTGCCTATGTGCACTGGATGACATCTACTAGAATGTTCACAGCAGTGTTGTTTGTAATTGCAAGAATTCAGGAATTTCTCAGTGTCCAGGGACAGAATTGATACGATGTGGTGCATTCACACAATGAAATATTAAGGCACAGTAGAAACTAATTGCAGCCACATACGTCAACAAAGATGAATGTCACGGAGACATAATGTTAAGAAGGAAGCAGAGAAAATTCAGAGAAGAACATATGCAACTTGACTACATTTACATAAGGGAAAATTGCATTAACTAGACAATGAATTGTATACAGATTCATATATTTGTTGCAAGATTATGATAAACACAAACATCAGAACAGTGGTTACCAGTGGTGGGATGGGAGGTCAGGGAGGAGGAAGCCTCGAAGAGACTGCTTATTGTTTGATTTCTTAACCTGATGGTGGCAGTTTGTATTTTATATAACTTATAAATATGCTAAAAATGTTATATAATTAAAAGTGTTATAAATATTACTCCATCTGCTTTATCTCATTAAATATTTTCATAGAATTTTTAAATTCTTTCAAACTTCAGAGAAAAAGAACAAAGAAACCAGAAAGTGATAAAAAAAAAAAATCGTAGCCATAGAGGGCACTGAAAGGCCATAATTATACCTTTTTTGATTATAATGCAAAAAAAGTAGAAACTTAAAAAAAAATCTCACCACTCAAAAAATTAATTTAAGTAAATTTAGATGAGCATAAAAACTTCTGGAACCAGAAACCACTAAGAAATATTTCCTAAATCTGGGAGTGCCCGGGTGGCTCAGTTGGTTGGGTGTTTCAGCTCAGGTCATGATCTCAAGGTCCTGGGATCGAGCCCTGCATTGGGCTCCCTGTTAAGCGGGGATCTACTTCTTCTCCCTCTGCCTCCTCCCCCTGCTCATGTTCTGTCTCTTTCTCAAATAAATAAATATTTTTTAAAAAAGGAAATATTTCTAAGTCTGAAATGCAAACAAATGTTAAACAACATTAAAAATATTCGGTAAATAGGGACACCTTGGTGGTTCAGTGGGTTAAGCATCTGCCTTCAGCTCAGGGCATGATCCCAGAGTCCTGGGATCAAGCTCCGTGTTGGGCTCCCTGCTCCCTTGCCTCTCTCTCTCCATCTGCCCCTTCATCTGCCTCTCGCCTCGATTCATGTTCTCGCTTGCTTTCTCTCATTCAAATAAATACATAAATAAAATCTTTTTTTTTAAAAGATTATCAGGTAAATATATTGGGCTAAACTGATTGAAGCTAACTCCTTGCTCATGGACTTGAATATCTCCTTAAGTAAATTCTTAGAAGTAGAATCATTGACACATATTAATAATAATAATAATAATAATAATAATAATAATAATAATGGTGGGCAGCCCGGGTGGCTCAGCGGTTTAGTGCCACCTTCAGCCCAGGGCCTGATTCTGGAGAACCGGGATCGAGTCCCATGCCAGGCACCCCACAGGGAACCTGCTTCTCCCTCTGCCTGTGTCTCTGCCTCTCTCTCTCTCTGTCATGAATAAATGAATAAAATCTTAAAAAAATAAAATAAAATGGTTGTTAAAAAGCATGAACCATCAGGGAAGATTCTGTAAAGGTGAACATCCATATAGAAAATTCTGTAAAACCATAATGTTAGAGCTTGCTTCAAAATGGTGAACTAAGAGATGACTTTTTTCTGCCTTTTTACTTGTCTTTGTGTTTTCCTTTTCTGCACTTAATACATGTTACTTGCATAATAATAACAAGACGTAATTTTATAAGGTGTATAAGGTAGTTGTAACAAAGAACATTACTGGGTCTTTCCTGGAAAAGCTCATGCCTGGTAAAAACAACCTGCTTGATACTGAGAGGTTAAGTTAAAAGACAGCTTGATGCCTAGCTAGATCCTCACAATCAGTAGACCTCATCATGGCAGCCAGCCTCTATCGACCCCCAACATCTCTGCCTCCTGGGGTTCTCACCCTTTGGTCCCCCCCCCCAATGCTGTATGAAGATTGGTCTGACACTAACAGAATATGGAAGGAGACACTATATGTCACTTCTGAGATTAAGCTATAAAAGACAGTTTCATAATGCAGCAAGAAATCAAAGCCTCTGGTCCACGGGCTTGTGATTGTGCCATATTAGGAGTGGCACCTCTGGCCCCACTCAAGCCTTCAGATGAAGCAACTCCAGCTGACATCCTAATTGAAACCACGTGAGACACCTTGAGCCAAAACCATCCGGTTAGACCACACTTGGGTTCCAGACCCTCAGAACCTATGTGAGATAGTAATCATTTTTTCTAAGTGTATTTATTTAAGTAAACTCTGCACTCAATGGGAGCCTCAAACTCAGGACCCTGAGATCAAGAGTCCCATGCTCTTCTGCCTGAATTAGCCAGGTGCCCCAAATTTGTTGTTTTAAGCTGCTAAGTTTGGGGATAATTTGATCCATAGCAACAGATACCTAATATACCTTTTTAAACTGGGTCAGTAGCTCCAAGCACCAGGAAGAGAGAAGAGAAGCAGTGAGTGCACAAAAAGGAATGAAGGATGTCTTTGAGAAGGAGCAGAATTCTTTATGAAGTAATTATATCTTCAACTATTGCCCCTACCTCATGCAATATGGGGACTCTTGATCTGTGTTCTCAAATTGATGAACTCCAAGGGAGGAGCCCATGAGATAGAAGAGAGAATCTGGAATGGGAGCATGTAATCCCTTTTTTTTCTTGAGGTTATTAACTAGCAGTTGGCAACTCACCGGTGTATGCAGCTGTGGGGTAGCACACCTGGGCACACAGAAGATGGTGCCTCATCCCTGGCATTTCATACAAGAAAACCCATACTGGAAGGTCCCACCATGCTGGGTAAAGGCGGGCTGACCTGGGAATCCAGCCCATCTGACCAAGGAGGGAATCTCCTGCTGAGAGGTGGAGTGGCCAAGCATCTGAAAGCTTGACTACCTGCCTTTAAAGGTCCACCCAGCCTAGGACGTTGGATAGACACACTGTCAGGGTCATTGCCTCTATAGAGGATGGCATCACAGCCGAGTACTACCTGGGATCCCCACTAGTGCACAGCTACTACCGGACACTGAGGGATCCATCAAACAAAGAAGCCCAGCCTGGCAGAGAAAGGAGAGATCCTCCTTCACTTTCCACAAGGGGACCCTTGGAGCAGACACGAGGGACTGCAAGGACAAAGGGAAGGGGCCCCAGTGGACAAAGCTGTCCTCTACTTCTCAAGCCCGGAGCAGGAGCTCTGAACTGGACTGTCATAGAAAATACCAACCTGAATATGCCAGAATGTGTTCTCGAAATGAAACTATTTTAAACTGGAAGTAGCTGGACATAGCTGATATTTATAAGACTGGGCTAACTTCAGTTTTTCCACTGCTGAGCATGAATAGGGTTTTTCTTTTCTTTCTTTTTCTTTCTTTCTTTCTTTCTTTCTTTCTTTCTTTAGAAAAGGAAGTTAGTTTAAAAATAAAGCAAACCTCTTGTTGGCATAAGGCTAAGTGGAGATTGTTCAATTAAAACTGTTAAATGAGCAGTGAGACCTGAGGCATGTATCCGACTGCCTCTCGAATATTAAGTTGGTCAAGTTCCCCATGTACGCATGCTGCCCTCTTCCAAGACCTTCCACGATTATAAATGCAGATTTTTAAAAAATTGTTTAGTGTCTCTTGCCTCTTGTAAGTACCATTCATTTCTTCTTTGTCTCTAGACCAGCTGTCCAATGGAACTTTCCTTAATGGTGGAAATGTCCTGTCCGCCCTATCCAATATGACGGCCACCAATCACACATGGCCACTGAACACTGGAAAAGTGGCTGGTGCCAACTGAGGGACTGACTTTAAAACTATATTTTAAATAATTTAAATGCAAGCAGCCACATGTGGTTAGTGCTACCACATTGGACAGCGAGGCGCGAGATGGAGTCGGATGTATTTCTTTCTACTGAACTTTTGGAAATCTGGTTTCCTCCATTTGGGGTACATCTTTGTTAGTTCACTGTCTCGCACTTGGTTCAAGCTTTCCACACCACCCACCAATTCTTCCTGATGTGTCCTCAGAACCAAATCAAGGAGAACATTTACAGTAATGTTCACATGGGGAAAATTTGAGCACAGACTGAATTCTGATAATATTAAGAAATTACTTAGGTCATTTCAAAGAGGGAATTTGGGGGGCTGAAGCCAAGAGCTCTTAACACTGTGACCAAATATTGAAATTCTCTATAGGATGTAATGGTCACTCAATAGTGCTGTGGTTTCCTGAGGAGATACGAGATAAAAAAGAAAAAGAAAAAGAAAGAGAGAAATTACTAAAATTGCATACTGGAGTCTGTACAGATAAAATAAAGTGCTGTCTGCAATTTGCTTTAGATAATGGAGTAGGGAGCGGACAGAGGAAACAAGATTGCTTGCTAATTGTTGAAGCCGTGTGATGGGTTCCTGAGCTTGCCTTGGATTAGTCTCTCTATTCTACATGTGTGTACTTTTTTTAATTAAAAAAAAATAAGATTGGGGGTTGGAGTAACTAGGTGATAGGCATTAAGGAGGGCACTTGATGTAACGAGCACCGGGTGTTATAAGCAACTGATCAATCACTGAATCTACCCCTGAAAGTAGTAACACACTGTATGTTAACTAACTTGAATTTAAATAATTTTTTTAATTAAGAGTTTTAAACAAAGTAGGAAAAATCTTGTCTTATGAAATCAAGTAGAAGGGGAAAAAGAGGGGCGCCTAGCTGGCTCAGTCAGTGGAACATACGACTCTTGATCTCAGGAACATGAGTTTGGGCCCCAAGTTGGCTGTGGAGCCTACTAAAAAACAAACTAACAAACCAAAAAACTATTTTAAAAAAAGAAGAAGAAGAAAAAGCAAACCACAAGGGGTATTCTGGGGGTGCTCAATTGGTTAAGCATCTGCCCAGTGTCCTGGGATCGAGTCCCACATCGGGCTCCCTGCTTGGTGAGGAGGCTGCTTCTTCCTCTCCCTCTGCCCCTCCCCCTGCTCATGCTCCCTCTCTCGCTCTCTGTCTCTCTCTCAAATAAAGAAATAAAATCTTTTTTAAAAAAGCCATAAAATGATAAGCATACAATAAAATGAGGAATTTACATAAATGGAAGGAAATGCATAACATAATGTAGTGGTTAGGAGCCAGATGGCTGAGTTCAAATCCTGGCTAGAATACCAACCTGGTTTCGGGAATTTATTTGAGCTTTGCTCAACCTCTGTTGCCTTATCTGTGGAATGAGGCTCAGGCAGGAATGTACTTCTTAAAATTGTGGTGGAGATTAAAAGAGTCTATTTACAAAATATTTGGCCAGCATCTGGCAGACAAGTCCCATTACTTGTATCTGGGAAATTGATGTATGAACGGCTGCTATTGTACCCACCACCTTATCAAATTTTCAACAAAAGGGATGTCTTCCTTTCATGTTCAAGGAGGAAAATGAAAAAATTAAAAAAATTTAAGAGAACAGGGGCATCTGGGTGGCTGCCAGTTGGTTAAGCGCCTGCCTTTGGGTCAGGTCATAATCTCAGGGTCCTGGGATCGAGGCCCACGTTGGGCTCCCTGCTCAGTGGGGAGTCTGCTTCTCCCTCTGCCTCTGCCCCTCCCCCTCCTATGCATGCGCTCTCTCAAATAAATAAATAAAATTTATTTTTTAAAGATTTAAAAGAATACTTCCTTCCAACTCCTATGTTCTGAGAAACTGTTAGCAAAGTAAGTTGGTAATTTATCAGATGTTCTAAGCTTTAGCAAAAGAATTCCAGCTTATGTCTGGGTGAGTGGAATTCCCCGTGAAAACCCTGTTTTGTGATATTTGTGATATGTGTTAGGAAAGCATCCTCTGTAAGCTTCCTCTGGCCTGGGGGGGGTGGGGTGGGGGTGGAGTGGGGTCTTGTGTCTGTGGTTCTCCTTGTCAGCCCTGACCCCAAAATGCTCCAACTGATGGACATATCTTCTTTGCAGGAGATGCTACACACTTTTCTCTTTCTATCAGGCTTGCATCTTTTTTTAAAAAATATTTTATTTATTTTAGGAGAGAGACAGCATGTAAGGGAGGGGCAGAGGGACAGGGAGAGAGAAAATCTCAAGTGGACTCCACACTTGGAACCCATTGTAGGGCTTGATCCCATGACCCTGAGATCATGAACTGAACTGAAACCCAGAATCGGACATTCAACCAACTGCACCACCCAGACACCCTAGGTTTGGGTCTTTTAAGTAACATACACCCTTCCACTGGCACAGCTTTGTTATGAATCGCCTCCAAGTGACAGTAATGCTTATGATATTATATTTTGCTTCTTTCAGGAACATGAAAATCTTGCCTTATCCATTCGCTAAACCCTTTGCATTGGGAGATAGGGATATAAGGCCATAAAGTCCAGCCTTCTCTATTTTTGCCCAAGAATAATGACACTGTCTCTATCACCCTCTTTTGGACCGTTTTACAAAGGCTGTCTTCCACTTTCTCTTCAACCATCAGTGGTAGTAAGTCAACTGAAACTACAGTAAACCAGAGGGGGAGAGGGGAATATTGACATGCATAATTGAAAAGTCCAAGGGTAGGGTTAGCTTCAGGTATGGCTAACTCTAGCTATTGTGATGTTTTCAGGAGTTTCTCTCTCTCTGTCATCAGGCTCACCTTTCTGCTATGTGCAGCTTCATTCTTGGTCTCATTAAACAAGGTGGCATTCAGCAGCTCGAAACAGATAATTGACCATCTTAGCTGCTTGACTAGAGAAAGAAAGCGTACCTCCTTCCCAATTATTTAAGCAAATTGCCAGCAACAACTCTCATTGGTCCAGATAGTGTCATGTGGCTACCTCTGAAACAGTCGTTGAGATTTTGGTAGACATTTTTTTTGTGCCAAAGGATGAGATCGACCCTCTTTGGCCACATAGTCTATGAGTTGAGGATGGATGGTCTCTCCCCAAAGATAAAGAAGCTCTTGAAGGAAGATGGCAAATGGATGCTAAGCAGACAGAAACAACAGCTGTCCAATCTGTGTCCCATAACAATCTTTTCTTCAGTGCCCTCTGGTAGCATTGAGAAATCTCCTGCCAAGCACATTCTTCCCTAACTTTGTGGCACCCTGTCCTTTGCCAGTAGCCTCATATTCCACTGTGTTGGCCTCTTGCCAGGAAAAGAAAATCCTCTTCAACACCATCAACATCGCCAGCTATTCACTCCCAATATCCCTTCCTCTCTCTTCCAAAGTCACAGGCATCCACTGAATGAAAAGATGGAACGCCAAGACGCCTGGGTGGCTCAGAGGTTGAGTGTCTGCCTTTGGCTCAGGTCATGGTCCTGGGGTCCTGGGATCGAGTCCTGCATCAGGTCTTCTGCAGGGAGCCTGCTTCTCCCTCTGCCTGTGTCTCTGCCTCTCTCTGGATCTCTCATTAATAAGTGGATGAAATCTTTAAAAAGAAGAGAAGAGAAAAGGAAAGGAAAGAAAAGATGAAACACTATTTGTATCTCCAACCCTTCAGAGTCCGTCTCAGAGCTGTAAAACTTCCAGAGACATAGTTCAGACTTCTTTTAACCACACCATTTATCTACACATGGATCAGAAGAAGCAGGTAATGGCTGGAGATCCTGTGCAAATATCCCATCACACCCTCTATTTGCGCTCCAGAAACACATGTCCCTCCAGCGTGCCGCACTTGGTCTCAGAAGGGAATATCTCCTTATTCTAAGAATACACAAGTGTCTGCCCCCTCCACCCAGCCATGCCTGCTTCTCTCAATATGCTGGCATGATGCTGAGGACATGCCAGATATTCAATGATGTATACCCTGCTTCCATTCTTGCCCTACCCAACTGTTGTCAAAACACCCACAACGAGAGGTGCCTGAGTGGCTCAGTTGGTTTAGCATCTGACTCTTGGCTTCAGTTCAGGTCATGATCTCAGGGTGGTAAGATCAAGCCCTGCATCGAGCTCTATGATCAGCAGGGAGTCTGCTGGAGATTCTTTCCCTTTGCCCCCTCCTCACACGCACACTCTTTCTCAAATAAATAAATAAATCTTAAAAAACAAAAATCAACACACCAAACAAACAAAAAAACTCACTAAGTTAAAGATGGAATCAGGAAAGAGGTACGGGAACTTTACTCATATTTTTCAAGCTAGGTGGTAGGCTATGTAAGTGCTTATTGTATTCCTGGCTAGTCTTCTGAAATATTTCATAAGTTAAATAAACTTTAAAATTTGCAGGGTGCGAGTCAAGCTGACACACCAAAAAGCTAATCCCATCACGTCATTCCCCGCTTGGCTCCCTAAAGCCCACAAGATGACAACAGCTCCTTACTTGGCACACGAGTTCCTTTCTTATTAAAGCTTGAATGTTTGTGTCCCCACCCCCCTCAAAAAAATTTTTATGTTGAACTCTGATGAGAATTGTTTTTTTTAAAGATTTTATTTATTTATTTATTTATTTATTTATTTATTTATTTATTCATGAAAGACACCGAGAGAGGCAGAGACACAGACAGAGGGAGAAGCAGGCTCCCCACAGGGAGTCCAATGTGGGGCTCAATCCCAGGACCCCAGGATCAGGCCCTGAGCTGAAGGCAGATGCTCAACCACTGAGCCACCCAGTCATTCCACTCTGATCAGAGTTAAATTAGGTCATACAAGTGGATCCTGTGTGATGGCATTAGTGTCCCTATGAGAAGAGGAAGGGATCCTAAGCTCTCTTCTCCTGCCGTGCAAGGACACAGTGAGAAGGTAGCTTTGATTATAGCATCCCACCCCTACCCCACTGCCAGCCATAGCTTCAGATATCTTGAACCACCCCTAGTTCCCTGAATGGGCCATATTTTCTCTCAACTGGATGTTTCAGAGTCTCTTCTCTCCTTTTCCTCACATCGCTAACTCCTGTTTCCTCATTGCATTTAGTAGAGTAGACTAATGAAGAGGCCCCAGAATACAGCAGCTTAAAATATATACATTTCTTTTTGCTAGAGTAGTAAGTTCTGAGATGAGCTGTCCAGGTGAGTGGACCACTCAGCTCCTCATGGTCATTCAGGGACCCAGGTTCCTTCCAGTCATTGCTCACCCTGCCTCCAGACCCTCAGGGTCCCCCTGCATGATTGAAGCTGGGTCACTTCTTCATGCAGATTCCACCTGCAGGAAGAAGGCACACAGGGATGCTTTGTGGTCCAGACCTAGAAGTGGTCCAGTTCATCTCCATGCATTCTATTGGTGATAACTAGTCATGTGATCTCAACAAACTGCTGGGGATGCTGGGGAATGTAGTTTCTACTCGAGC